TGGTCACTATTATTATGAAGCCTTTCAGCTTCGAAGGACAGAGGCGCCAAGATGAGGTACTGTGTGATTAGGAGCTTTGATGATACCTGTTGAGTTGGAGAAGCCAATAAATATCAAATATGTAGCATTTTTTACAAAATGAATTATTTTGCTATGCATCTTACGGGAAAAGTTTAAACTATAAAAGTCATAAAACTTGGAAGTAGTAATGGAGCCAAGTGTGAATGTATCATAATTTGCTCTCTTGAGAACCCATTGTCAAAGTCTCTCTGTGGTATAATGTCCTCCTGTAAGCATTAGCAGATGTCTGTTTAGCTTGTTTAATTACTGTGTTTCAAATTTTTGTTGCAACATCCATTCACCTGAGGTATAATATTCATTGAAGTTTTCCTATGATTTATCTAAACTTAGAGTTTCACGATTGGCCTTCCTGATTGAATCCATGCCTAATCTTGCAATTTTTAATCTAATTTTCAGGTGAAAGATCTAATGGAAAAACTTCAGGATCATACAAATTTATTTATTTGTAAGTTGTATTTTCTGTTAGATGAAGATTTGAAGTCCCCCACATTACAGGAATGCCTAAACCAGTTTTCTAGTCAATGCTTTTCCCCATCAACCATAAAGTTGCACATTATGTGGTTTCTTTTCAAATGCAGGCATTGACATTGACATGTTACTCAAAAAGGACTTGGTAACTTTAGATGAAGCTGTCAAGACTGCAAATAATGCTGTTTTATTGGCAGTAACTGCTGTATCTGTTTTAACATCTGTAAGTTTAGTTCTTTAATGTTTGTTTGGTTGTCTAAGTTAACAGTGGCCTGGTTGTGACGTGTTTATTGCTGGTGCACTTATAGGATATACACAGAAAACTTATTGATGCATCCCATGATGATGTGAAAATGATCGAAGTTTCTGAAGTAATTAAAGTAAGTGTTCATGAAGCATACCATACACCTTTGTGCAAGTTATTATGTGCTTTATTAAATAGTTTTTGTTTGCAGAGTTTTTATGGTTTTGTGTCTCCTCTTGCCCAAGTTTTAAAAGTGCATTTTCTTCCTTTCTGTCTCTTACCAATGCTGGTCCTATTGTAAGGCTAATGCAACTATGTACAGATTCTGGAAGGATATAAAGAAGCAAAAATTGGATTTGGTGCTGGCTACAATACTGAAACTTCAATATTACGATCTTTGTATGACTGCCCTTTCCTTAGTGTGGGTGTAAAGGTATGACCAGATTGAGCTAAATGTATATGGTGTGGTTATAAATTTATGCCACTTTTCTGCTCTTTTGCTGCTTTCTGAATTTTCTTTTCTTTTCTTTTTTCTCTGTTGCATAGGACTGGGATGGTATGATTATATGCATCCTTGCAAGTTCGGGCACTATCGATAACAGTGATGTACAAAAAATTTTGCGTACTTTTCGTCGAAGTACGGAATATGAGGGGGAAATCTTAATTTCTACAATTCATGAACCTAGTCTAGAGCCCAACCTGGTGGTCACAACAGTTCTTATTGTAGGGTAACTTTTTTACTTCCTGCCTTATGTTAAGTATTTAACAGTAGTATTTGCAACTTGCTTTCTGCCTATCTGATGCATGATGGATCTAGTTTTTAGCTTTCTAATGTACATTTTATGCAATTACCAGTTTTGCTCGGAAACAGACTTCTCAGAAAAGTAGCATATTCTCTGGACTAGCCCAGCATTTTCCTTTCATTTGTGATCTTTTCAGTAGACACCAATGGCAATCAAATGACACTCAGAAAAACCCATCACCTGAAAATGCACGCTTTTCTGAAGAGATAGATTCACCAGATTCTAGTGAAATGGGAAATAGAAATGCTGTTGATGTTGTAGCCGAAGGTTTTGATAAGTACTCTGAAGGACCCCAGGCAGACGACTTCCAATTTTCAAGGTTTGTTGGTTTCTCTATTTTAATTTAGTTCTTCTAAAGATCTGTCTGCTATGCATAATCTTAAAAGCTTGCATAAATTTTGTTGTTTTTGGAGGAATTATAGGGGGTCTGAACAAAATGATGATGGAATGTTCGAGGCTACTGACTCTTCTAGTTTATATGATCCAATCACTGAAGGTAGCACTACTATTACTTTTTTTTTTTCTCCTTAAAATTTAAATTACTAGTTTCCAGTTTGATGGAGTAGTCTTTGCCTGGTATCCTAGTAATCCTTCAAAGCATTCGGCATTACTTTTCATTCCTGAAGTTCAACATGTTCTTACATTTGACTAATCATAGTTAAAACTTAAAATGCATTACCAAGAACTTCCTGCCTTTCAAAGACAGCCACTTGTTAGATGGAACTTGGGACCAGGATATCAGCTTGCAAAGGATTGGGCAAAAGAGAGGGCAGCAGAAGATGGAGCTACTGTGATACTAGATAACCTGAGCACCTTCTGCCTTCCAGTCGGTGTAAGGCCTCCAGAAGAGTTGAAAGATGGTGTCAATATCTCATTTCCAACACAAAACCCAGAGACAAAAACTGAGAATGATGTGAAAGCGCAACCAGCTGTCAATTTAAGCATGTCTTCTTGGAGTTCATTTACTGACACAGGGCTTGAAGCAGTCAAGGAATTTTATAACACAGCATCAACACTTGTAAAAGGAAAAGATGCTGATAATCCTAAGAAGCAAGGAAATCTCTCTGTTCGTGCTGCATCTATGCTGGTAATCAGCTGTTTGTGAAAAACAAAGCTTAGTAATATTCACATTAAAGATGTTCATGCTTATTGTAATAAAAAAGGCGCTCATGCTTAGTAATAAATTATGTAATATAAGGGCCTGTTTGATAACCATTTCAATTTTAGTTTTTAGTTTTCATTTTTTGTGCTAGAGTATAGAGGAAAAAGAGGGAGAATGGAAGTGAGAATGAGAGTGAAGATGGGATTGAGAGGGAATGATGGGAGGGAGGAGTAACAAAAGTGAAAACAAAAAGTAAAAACTGAAATCTGTTTGAAATTGTTTTCACTTTTGTTACTTATCCCTCCCATTCTCCTCTCTCTCAATCTCATCCTAACTCTCATTCTCACTCTCATTTTCCTCTATACTCTAGCACAAAAACTGAAAACTAAAAACTAAATGGTTATCAAACGGGCCCTAAGTTTATTCTCTATATTGTATTTGACCGTTTCTTATACTTGCCAGAATATGAGGATTTAGTTTTTGTTACCTATTCTACATACAGGAAGCAGAACGAGATTCACCAAAAAAGTGGAGTCCTGTAGTGGAGATGAAATACAGAGGCGGAATCTACGAAGGACGGTGCCAAGGAGGGCTTCCTGAAGGAAAGGTATTGTTCCATGAGACTAAAAAAGTAGCTAAAAATCAAAATTCTTGAGAATGTCATGATTTGATCTGTACAAAAGGATTTAAATTCTAATCCTGAAAAGAATTCTACAGGGTCGGTTGCTTCTTGGAGATGGAAGCATGTATGATGGTATGTGGCGCTATGGCAAAAGATCAGGTCCTGGTACATTCTACTTTAGTAATGGGGATGTGTTCCAGGGATCATGGAGGGATGATGTCATGCATGGCAAGGTAATTGATTTCATGTAATATCTGTTTTATTTATCTTGACAGTAAAACTCCATAAGTAGGTGCTGTCCTGTAGATGATATCATTCTGAAATAGGTTGTTTCAATGGTCATATATAGGGTTGGTTGTATTTTCACACCGGGGACCGATGGTTTGCTAACTTCTGGAAAGGAAAGGCCAATGGTGAAGGTCGTTTTTATTCAAAGGCCGGTGATGTATTTTTTGGCCATTTCCAAGATGGTTGGCGACATGGCCACTTCATTTGCATTGATGTTGATGGAACAAGGTTTGTGTTTTCCTATGACTTATTTTCTCCCCTCTTCGACTACAAAACAGGGCTCCCCTCTCTTTCTGCAAATGTTCCATTCTTACTAGAGAATGTGAGTTTTCACCTTAGAGTAAGGTTGCAAACAAACTGAGTAGCTCAAAAACAAGGCTTGTTAAGCCTACAAGCCATGCCCGAGGCAGCTTGTTTAAATGTTATGTAATTTACTAACTAGTACTGTTGATTGTCTCTACTGATCTTGATCTTATGTTATATGATTTATGGCCGTGATCTCTATATTTACAGGTGTTTTGAGAATTGGGATCGAGGTGTGCTTGTAAGCCAGAAATTGGACTCTGATATTGGTGAAGGATAAAGAGTCGACTTGTAATTGTTTGTAAATTAGTTTGTGTTCTTTCTATTTATGCGTTTCATTTTTTTTGTATAATAGTTGTTTAGTATAAGGGGGAAGTATTTCAAAAGAAAAACAATGGAGTCAATGATGATTCATGGTCGTATCGTATCATATGCATTTTTTTTCCATGTTTGGACAAAATGATATTCTAAACTATTCTTACTTACGGAAAGGAAACTCCAACTAGAATGTAACAAAGTGACTAAAAAACGGTTTTAGGCTTACTGCTGGTGCAAATAGCTCTAAGCTGGAAGAATATAAATACCATAGGAAAGAGACTGGAGAAAAAAGTAGGTATATACCTAATTTCCTTTTCCGTTAGTCGTACTGCCTGACATTGGAGAATTGCCTTGTAAACGTTATGTGGAGACGAATCCTCTCGACTTAGGTTAAAATGAAAAAAAAATCAAAATCAAATTACATGGTATAAATTAGAGAATGAAATGCATGCCAGTTGGAGGAATTAGGAAATATTTTTCACAAAAGCCAAGTTTGCAAGTCCTTTTTAGAATACCATTACGTGAAGCCATACTGAACTTCCTTTTTACTATTTATTTACTGAATTTGCTCCAACAGTTGACATTGAAAGGAGGCATACTGAAGTTACGATTATGCTTATCAAGATCCTCACAAACACTTGCCGGCAACTTAGCCGCTTGCGTAGTATAAATTGGAACATCCAGAAAATGCTACCAGTTGGATAACAAGATTGACTAAACCTAAACCTTCAATATTTTTTGAACAAAAATCACTGACCAATAGATATGAAAATTGGTCTAAATGATACCTACAAATTCTTTGCGAATCCTAGCAGTGCTAAGGGACCCAATGCCAGGTTCTGTTCTCTTTACAAGTATTTCCAACCCCCACCATGTCTGGTTTATGATCACTTCCCCCCTTGGGGCTCTCTCTGGTCCTTTACCCCCAACCAATACAATTTTCTATCATCGAAGAAGGTTTATCCCCGCGAATGTCCTTGGCATTCAAACCTGGAAACCACCTGTGTGGCAGAGGCTTCAGAACTCATACAGCTCCATTCAGTCTTGCAAATCATGCGGATTATTGCTCTCCGGTGCATCATAGTGACGGAGAGAATCAAGGCTGGAGTGAAATTCACAAAAATTAAGAACCGTATTAGAAAACAATGGTTAAACACTGAACAAGTGACGGCAATTAAAGATGTATGCTACTGTATTAAGGAACAATCAATTCAGATTTAAAAAGAAAAAAAAATTCAAGGCATCCAATATCTTTATGTGCTTGCCTTCCTTACCTGCAATTCTGCGGAACCCCCCATGGTAAGATAAAATATTTCTTCAAATTTGGTCGCAGGGACATAAACTGCTTCCAATTCTGAAGCATGATTCGAAGGTCATGAAGCTTGCTATCTAGACCATAGCAACAATTTGCATGCATTGTACAAACTTGATTAAAATCTTTACTAGGTTCACAAAATCCACCAAAGTAAGCAGTATCCAAAAATTTCATTCTCAGTCCAATAGTAAAGGTGGAAGGATGAAACTTGATTATATTGAGGACATCCTGATCATGAAATCCAGGGTAGGTTTCCCGTGAGGAATACCAAAATTTGTAGAACTCTATTGACCTGTTATTGGACTTTACATAGTTAAACCCTCCGTTGGGTCTGTTCTCTAAATCATCTGAGTTGCCTAAGAAATGGTCACATGCGATCTGGAAATCAGCATCCATATAAAACTGTGGAAATGGATCCCTAAACCACATAACATCAGCATCCTGGAGGAGGAAAGACCAACAACAAAGGAATTGAAGGAAAAAAAAACCAAGGTTGATGAGATTTCAATCAATTCGAAACATATCAAAGTAAAATAAAATGTCCCAAATCAGTACGAAATACAGACAGGTATGCATTACTGAGTCTTACAGATGTATTTTGCAATAAATACTTGAATCCCTTAATCAAGAGGTTGTGTAATGAGATAAATAAATAATGAATCAACACAGTCACAGAAGAACTGGCAAACATACCTTCGAGTAAAGTAATTCAAGTCTAAGATCTTATCATCAGGTTATGTCACAAATTAAGACCAAAAAGAAGGTTGAGACATAAAAAATTTTCAAAGTTGGTAATTCATGTCTAAAAGTTTCTCATCAGGTTGTATTGTATCATATAAATAATTTTCAAATTGACAAAATCAAGTTTAAATGCCAATGGGTTTTGTAATAGTAGCAGAGAGATTACCGTGAAAACAAAATTGTAGCCCATCTCAAGAACAGAGCGCAGAAAATCAATCCTTGCCCACATCATCTTCAAGTAGTGAGGGGTCATAAAATAAGCCTCCCGACGAAAATCAACCCCTTGAGTGATAAGAGCAAAACAATGGGTATGCAGCTCCAAACAACGCTGAAATGCCTTTTGATCCAAGGCAATGATCACCAAATGGTTCAGGAGCCTGTGGGTGCCAACTCCAATCTTAAAGCTCTCGAGGAAGAGATCGATGATTGAATTGGGAGCTGCCCATGCTTCATTCAAAGTTGTTAAAATCACAGTTCCGTCTTCCATGGCAGCATCCTTTAAAACCTTTTGAAGCCTATGTTCCCCGCTAACCTACACAAGTTTCAAGCTTTCAATAGGTACAACGCAATTCAGCTAATTTGTTTACTCTTTTCATTCACCAAGTAGGAAATGCACAAGAATTGAGAACAACACAAAAGACCCATTTTCAATAGCTGAAGGAAATGAAGATCAAAATTCGAAAGCAGCGCAATACACAAATTGAAAGTAAAAAGAAGTAGAGATGAGAGTCAGTGTACACTCACGAGGGCGGAATTGTAGGCGGAGAAGAGAACAGAGGGAGACGAAGAGAAGCGAGGGAGAAAGCGCAGGGCATTGGAGTCGTTGTAGAGGAGCAAGCACGAGAGGCAAACCGCCACAAACAAGAGGAACCGGCGGATGAGTACCACGGATTCTGGAACCATGGCGGCGGCGGAGTCAATGGTGAGTGTACGGAGCTTCGTCGGCTGCAGACGCCTCCGGTGCGGATGCATCAAAGGCGATGGTTTGGCATTGGGGCATGTTATCGTTGTCAGCCCCAGTCGAGATAGCCGACGCGGTAAGTAGAGCAGATAAATGCCAATGTTAAAAAAATTGGGAAACCGTTCTTTTTCTTTTCTTTTTTTTCTTTTTTCTAGGTGTGGCCAAAAAACACCGTTACGACTTGGGTTTGGGGCTAAGCCAACCATTTCCTAATTTAAAAGGAAAAATTTGTGAAGTGGATTTTTACCAAACTCTGAAGATGGAAGTGCGATCCGGCCGGCCGTCAACGTTATTATCCCCTATCTCCCACACGTGAAAAAATTTCCTGGCACGGGGATGCCAGGTCAGAAAACCCATTTCATATTCCAATCCAATAAGATTGTGCCACCTGCCCAACCATCTCTCTCCTGCTGGTTTCATTCTCTCTCCTCATACACTCGCAGAATCCGGCCTTCCACTGTAAGATCAACTGAAACTGTTCAAGAAAAAGTCCAAGTTTTTCGTTCTCTCCCACTCGAATTCAACAAGTTCAAACAAAAAAACCCAGAGAAACCAGTGGGTTCCTCACTGTTGCTTCCATGCATGCCATCAAGAAGGTCATGCAAACCGGCAGGTCGACGACAATGATTAAAATGAAAGTTCTACCATGGGTTTCTTGTTGACGTGAAATTAGACAGAAACTTGAACTAAGTTTTGTTTGGGAAAATCCAAGTGTAAGTTTGGGGATTTTGCTTTGATTTGAACCATGGGTTTGGAATAATTAAAAGATTTTGAATTTTTATGTTCATTCAAATGAATTTTTGTACACTTGAAAATTTGAGTATCATGGAGGATGGAGATGAATTCTTGGATTTTTCTTAAGTGATTTCAGTCTTGCAGTGACAACCGTGAGGTTTGTTCTGGGGAAAAATAATATAAAAGAACGGAACTGTGATTTGCACCGGCAGAAGAGGTGTACTGTGCAAATTGGACAGATGGCACAATCTTATTGGATTGGGATATGAAGTGGCTTTTCTGACCTGGCATCCCCGTGCCGGAAAGTTTTTCTCCTCTCACACGTCACACCCAACATTTTGTTTCTCCTACAAGCCAGAAAATTTGTTTTGCATTTGATCTTTTCCTCCTAATCATCTCTCTCTCTTTCTTCGCTTGTAAAGACATTTCGACTTAACGGTAAAAAATCAAGCCCGAATCATCGCCGTAGCTTCTTTTCAAATTTCAGTCCAAGGTTTTTTCTCACTAACCCTAAAGCTCCATTCTTTCCGGTTAAGTTTACTGAATTTTCAAACTTTGTTGGTATAGTTCATACAATGAAGATTGACGAAGAATCCATAAAAGAAAAATAAAAAGAAGGAAAAGGGAAGAGAAGAGATCGTAAGAGTTTTGAATTTCGTCGATCAAATGGCAGCTCCTGTGCCTCCAGGGCCACCTAGACCCGGTGATCGTCCACCACCCCCTAATTACAATTACAATTACAACCCTAATCATAGCGTTCTTCCCCCAAATTCCGATTCTTTGTCGCAGAATTTGCAAAATTTGAATCTCAATCGACCGCCTTCGATGCCCACCTCGGCCCCGAGATCTTCCCCTCCTCCTCCATCAGCACCGTCTCCGAGTCCATTGGCTCGGCCTGCGCAGCGAAGACCTTTGTCGGGGCCTCCTCCAGTGGGAGCCTCCTCACAGTCCTCGTTTCCACCCTATGTGGGTCCACGAAGGCCTTCAGGGCCGCCTGCTACTTCACCACTTGGTTACAGACCACCTCCTCCTACCAATGCTTTCCCGCCGGCACCGCCCCCAGGTGTTTTGCCCCGTTTTCCTCCACCTGTCAGTGGACCTTCAACAACGGCAGCTCTTGCTCCACCGCCTACTCCTCCTCAGCCTCAGCCTCCGCAAACCATGCATTCCGTATTGGGCAGTTCAGTTTGGAGAGCGTCCCCAGGTCCTGCAGTGCAACAGCCACCGCCATTTTCAGTAGCATCCCAAGGTCTACAACAACCCCATCCTCCACAAACTTGGTCCTTGCAACCCAATCAAGTAAGCTGTAATTCATGATCCAATCAAATTTCATTCACCATAAAAGTATAACAGGTTACATGCATTACAATTCTAGCTTATCATACATTGTATGCATTTCTTGTTTTTTTCACTCAATAATCTGACTGAAAAATATTTTGAATTGTTTTAGGCGCCTCAACCTCCGCCAACTTCCCTGCAACAACAAAGAATGTTTGGAACGCCACCATCATTGCCAAATCAATCTATGACTTCCATATCACATGCTGTGGGCCAAACTCGAGCCCCAGTGGCAGGACCCTCAAAGATTGATCCGAATCAAATACCACGACCCATTCCAAATTCCTCCGTGATTGTGCATGAAACTCGCCAGTGCAATCAGGCCAACCCTCCTCCGGTATTTATTTAGTTAAATCTTCTTGCCCTTCATTTTATTTTTCTTCCTATAATTTATCTTCAGCAATCATTCTGTACATGCATGCTGCTATAGTGTCTAGTGATCTTTCACCTCTTACTAAATGTAACTTTTCTCAAGCCTACTACAAGTGATTACATAGTCAGAGACACTGGGAACTGCAGTCCACGTAATATGAGGTGCACCATCAATCAGGTCACAATCAATTACAAACAAGCATTTTTTCTTTTATTTTCATGATTGTTATCCATTGGATCCTGTGAGGAAAATCAATTATTATCAGTTTTTTATATATATACATATTTCCTTTCTATTTCAACAGATTCCATGCACTGCTGACCTTTTGGCGACATCAGGGATGCAGTTGGCTTTGTTGCTCCAACCCTTGGCCCTTCCTCAACCGTCTGAAGAGCCAATACCGGTAATGCATCAATACCCTTAGTCTATTTTTTCTATATGCTTGTCATGGTAAACATAACAGCTTACTTATCCGTTGGTCCATGAGTCATAATTCATATTTGGCGGTTCACACAAAGTTTGGAATTGCCCCCTCTCTTTGCTAGTTTTTGTGATTTCTGTGTAAATGTTATCCGTCTTGGTGTTGTTGGATAAACTTTTCTTGATATAGGTCGTGGATTTTGGTGAAAGTGGTCCTCTTCGTTGTTCTCGGTGCAAAGGCTACATAAATCCTTTCATGAAGTTCATTGATCAGGGAAGGCAGTTCATATGTAACTTGTGTGGTTAGTACAACTTATCATTATATTTTTTTGTTATCTATCTGCTATCTTTCTTTGCAACTCTATGTGTTTGCTTTCTTTTACATCATGTTATATGGAATATACTGTCAGGTTTGTGTATCACCTTCACTTCTCCCTTCTCCCAAAGTTTACATGTAGGTTTCTTCTTTTGACAAGATTTCTTGTTGGCTCTTGTTTATTCTTCAATTTAGGATGACTGTCCTTGTTGTTTCACTGTAAAATTTTATTACAGTTGTTTTATAAAATTACAATTTACATTGTTATACGCACCAAGATCTTAGTAATCAGTTTTTAAGAATATATGCATTCTCTCATGAAGTCATGAGAGTTGCTACAAGTTACTGGTATCCAGAATGCTCATGTGTTTTTTTATTCATTGACATCTGGACTTGGCTGTTTATTTCATCACAAACATGGTGAACAATGGATGGGGAGGTGATTTGATGACATGTGCTAGTTTAATTTGCAGGATTCACTGATGAGACTCCCCGTGACTACCACTGCAATCTTGGTCCAGATGGTAGGCGTAGAGATGCTGATGATAGGCCTGAGCTTTGTAGAGGAATGGTTGAATTTGTTGCTTCCAAAGAATACATGGTTAGTTGGTTCATGAGATTTGCCAGCTTTATGCAGATTCATGTTTGGTTTCCACTTTTATTTCGCTAGTTTAATTATGATTTGAGATTAAGGACAGTTCCAGGCTCCCAGCCAATGTACAGTATATTGCTTTGGACACTTACAAGTCGACTAGAGGATTTAAATTTTAACTGAGGATTTAAGTTTTAACTAAGAGTCTGCCTTTATAGTTGCCAAATGTCAATAAGAAAATGCATCTTGCCCTCTTGAGAATGCATCCTTTATGACCTACTGTTTGCTTTATTCATGGGAATGACTGCCTTCAATTCGTTTCTCCTTTTCTTTTTCGATTAGACTACCTGCAATATCTTCCTTTTCAAACTTAATTATCATGTTCCAGGTGCGTGATCCAATGCTGGCTGTGTATTTCTTCCTTATTGATGTATCTATGAATGCTATGCAAACTGGAGCAACTGCAGCGGCATGCAGTGCAATCCGTCAAGTTATTTCTGATCTTCCTGTAAGTTTCATGACTATTTGCAGAATGCTGAAGCTTTTAATTGCACCTGCTTATGGAAAATTAGAAACGTACTTTTCACCTTTGTTTTGGAGTATGTCAACCTTTTTAAGTTTCTACAAGAACCTTCGTATTGGGTTAGCTTCTTTAGCAACTGATGTATTGATGATTCTCTATTTCAGGAAGGACCTAGGACGATGGTGGGGATTGTAACATTTGACACTACAATTCATTTTTACAATCTGAAACGTTCATTACAGCAGGTCAATATATAACTTTGTTACTTAGATTTAAAATTTTGTTGTAGAGCTGAATTTTTTTGTATTTCTGAGTATATAACATTTGCTTACATAGTAATGTTTGTGTGAATTTATTTAGCATTAATGTCCTATCAATTTGTTAAAGGGAAAGGAAAATGTGTACTTACATAATACCATTCTTGTTGTGTTTCACAATCAACTTTGTCACTCATTCTCTCTTCTGCAATGCAATATAATGTAACATTTTCTTCATTATCTTATCCAAATAGGTGGTTACCCTATGTTCTAATTGAAGATTGCTTACTGATTTTATCTTGATATGTTTTGCAGCCATTGATGCTCATTGTCCCTGATGTACAAGATGTTTATACTCCTCTGCAGACTGATGTAATTGTTCAGCTTTCTGAGGTTAGCTTCAGAGTTCAGTTTTGTTGTGTTTTCTAGTACAGCTGTTGATGTGTGTAAGGCAATATCTTTGCAACCCCAGATAAGTCGAATGATTTTTTTTCTCAAGTCTTTGGTTGTTTCTGACATGGATCCAGTGCCGTCAACATTTAGACCTACTTTTGGAAAGCATCCCATCCATGTTTCAAGATAATAAAACAGCTGACTCAGCCTTTGGTGCCGCAGTCAAGGTATGGTATTTATTCTCATATTTGGTCTGGGTGA